TTTTTTTTTTTTTTTTTTTTTTTTGTGTTACATTTATTTACTCCCTTTAAAAAAATATTCCTCTTTTGTTAATATTCAAAAAATTGGGACATTACATGTTTTGTTTGAACAATTCGTTTATTTTTACCATGGAAATGGGAGAATTGGATTCAATTTCTAATTGATCATTGGTTCACTATTCTTCTCTGCAGAAATCATTATAGGTATTTAATTTGATAAAACTCTGTTGACGTGATTGGTTATTTTGAAATGTAGGCGGTTGTGGTGCTTGTGTTGTTCTATTGTCCAAATACGATCCTGTGTTAGATAAGGTCGAAGATTTTACAGTAAGCTCATGCCTCACCTTGCTTGGTAGTATACATGGCTGTTCAATTACAACCAGTGAAGGTATTGGGAATTGCAAGGATGGTTTCCACTCAATTCATCAAAGATTTGCTGGCTTTCATGCTTCTCAGTGTGGCTTTTGTACCCCTGGAATGTGTGTTTCACTTTTTTCTACTCTCATCAAGGCTGAAAAGACCAATCGACCTGAGCCCTCACCGGGATTCTCGAAACTTACGGTTTCTGAAGCCGAAAAGGCTATTTCTGGAAACCTCTGCCGCTGTACAGGATACAGGCCAATTGCTGATGCCTGTAAGAGTTTTGCTTCTGATGTTGACATGGAGGATTTGGGGCTAAACGCGTTCTGGAAAAAGGGATGTGGTGAGGAAGAGAAATCGAGTAAATTGCCTCCTTATGATCCAAATAATGGCCCGTGCTTATTTCCTGAATTTTTAAAAAAGGAAATAAGGTCTATCCCTTTTGTGGAGTCTCAAGGTTGCTCCTGGTTTAATCCCGTTAGTATTGGGGATCTGAACAGATTACTGGGATGTGACGAGTCCAATAATATAAGCAATACGAAGTTAGTCGTTGGCAACACTGAAGTCGGATACTACAAAGAATTTGAACATGTTGATAGATACATTATTCTTAAATACATCCCTGAGCTTTCAGTTATCAGAATGGATTCAACAGGAATAGAGATTGGCGCGACAGTGACAATTGCAAAAGCTATTGAGGCTCTGAAAAATAATAACCATGAAAGCTCCTCAATAGGCGAGCTAGTGTTCAATAAACTGGCCGAGCACATGGAGAAAATTGCTTCGAGCTTTGTACGAAATACTGCCAGCATTGGAGGAAATTTAATGATGGCACAAAGAAAACAATTTCCTTCAGATATTGCCTCAATACTTCTTGCTGCAGGTTCCATGATAAGTATATTAACTGGTTCCAGCCAAGAAACGATTATGTTGGATGAGTTTCTCAAGAGACCTCCATTGGGTCCGAAAGGTGTACTTTCAAGTGTTAAGATTCCAAATTGGGATTCTGTTAGGGATGTTTATTCAGATGATGCTACTGTCATGTTTGATACTTTTAGAGCTTCTCCACGACCCCTTGGAAATGCACTGCCGTATCTAAATGCTGCTTTCTTGGCTGCAATCTCCCCATGTAAAAATTCCAATGGGATCATATTAAATAGTTGTCACTTGGCTTTTGGAGCATATGGGACCAAACACGCCATTAGAGCAAGAAAGATTGAAGATTTTCTAGCTGGAAAAGTGATTGATTATAATGTCATATATGAAGCTATCTCATTGACTGGAACCACTATAGTTCCTGAAAAGGGCACTTCATCTCCTGCGTATAGGACAAGCTTAGCAGTTGGCTTTCTTTTTGAGTTCTTAAGCTCCTTGGTTGATGAAAAAGCTGCAATCAATAAAGATTACCTATATGGATGCAGGAATGCTTCGTCAACACTACCTGACAGATTTAATTCAGACCAAGGCCTACTTGGTTATAATAAAAGTGCTACTCTACTATCATCTGGAAAGCAGGCACTGGAATTGAGCTCAAGATATTACCCAGTCGGAGATGCCATTATAAAATCTGGAGCTGCCATTCAAGCTTCAGGTACTTTATATCTTGTAATAGTATGAAATTAGACTTTCAAAGACAGAATGAACTTGCCCTAGTTAACCTCGTGAGCATTGAACATTCACAAACTCTAGAATATTCTGTAGCAAACCTAGTCTGCGTGGCAGGACATAAATGAGTTAGAACGTGTAAATGTTGGTGTGTGAGCTCAGGATAAGTCACCTATTTTGCTACCTTTATTTCCATGGACTCGAAGGCGCGTCCCTGTTATCTCATTTGAATTAGATTTAGTATCTCCCGGTTCTGAACTTCTTCCATTTTCAACTTCGGCTTGATCCAGTCTACTTAGTGTCAGATGTCTCATGTTACCTAGTTGTCATACTTCCAATAATGCTTCATGGTTAGGCTTACATGTTCAAAGCCGATTTTTCACTTGATATTTTAGGCTTACACTCATAATATTTAGCATTCCATGTTCTTTTAGGTCTATTTATTTGACAGGATTTCTTGTTCTCGGGTATTAGGAAACCAATGTAAATATGCTTGTGAATATTTTAGGCGAGGCTATCTATGTGGATGATATTCCTTCACCAACAAATTGCCTGTATGGAGCATTCATATATAGCTCAAAGCCTTTGGCACGGGTAAAGGGTCTTACTTTTCCTCCCAAATCACAACCAGAGGGAGTTGTTGCTGTTATTTCCGCCAGAGATGTTCCCGTGGGTGGACAGAACATTGGAGCTAGAACCATGTTTGGTGACGAAATTCTATTTGGAGATAAGTTGACTGAGTGTGCTGGTCAGCCACTTGCCTTTGTGGTAATTTGAATTCCTCATGATTCATTTATAGCAACCTCAGTCATAGAAGGTACCCTTACTTGCTGTGGTGCTTAATACCTACCCATATTTTTCTTAGGTTGCAGATACTCAGAAACATGCAGATTTGGCTGCAGAATATGCAGTAGTGGATTATGACACAGATATTTTGGAAGCACCTATTCTTTCGGTAGAGGATGCTGTTAAGAGGTCAAGCTTCGTTGAAGTTCCTTCAGTTTTTATTCCAGAACAGGTTGGTGATATATCAAAAGGAATGGCTGAAGCAGATTACCATATTAACGCTGCTCAGGTACCTTCTACAATGAATTTCTTGGCTGTAATATACAATGATGGTATACCTGCCTTGGGGAATTTCCTTGATTTACTTGGTTGAACCACTTTTCAGTCTAATAGTTAGAGATTCAATCATGGCCTACTTGACCGTTTCTCACACCAAAAAATTAGCTTCTAACTATTCTGCTACAAATGTGATTAGTTATTATCTATTCAAAAGATAGGTCATTTCTCCTAATTGTTTTCATAAATTTTAACATCCAGATCAGACTTGGATCACAATATTACTTTTACATGGAGACCCATTCTGCACTTGCCATTCCAGATGAAGATAACTGCATGGTAGTTTACAGTTCAAGTCAATGGCCTGCTAATGTGCATTCTGCTATTGCAAAGTGCCTCGGTGTTCCTGAACATAATGTCCGTGTAATTACAAGAAGGGTTGGAGGAGGCTTTGGTGGAAAGGCCGTGAAGTCTATGATTGTGAGTACCTGCTGCCAACTCTATGTGCAATTAACTATTGAAAAACGGTTCTTCACTGGTGCATTTCTTTGAACTTCCAAGTAAAACAAGATTTTTCACTTCCATTGGAAATTTTCTGGGTTGATTTACTAGTAAGAGTGTTTATGAATGGAAGATCGATTCTTTGGGATCCTTCTTTTTTTCAAACGGAATGAACAGAGATAGAATCAGACCGATTCCCAACAGAAATCAAGTATCTATGTACAATTAACTATTGAAAAACGGTTCTTCACTGGTGCATTTCTTTGAACTTCCAAGTAAAACAAGATTTTCCACTTCCATTGGAAATTTTCTGGGTTGATTTACTAGTAAGAGTGTTTATGAATGGAAGATCGATTCTTTGGGATCCTTCCTTTTTTCAAACGGAATGAACAGAGATAGAATCAGACTGATTCCCAACAGAAATCAAGTATCTATGTGCAATTAACTATTGAAAAACAGTTCTTCACTTGTGCATTTCTTTGAACTTCCAAGTAAAACAAGATTTTCCACTTTCATTGGAAATTTTCTGGGTTGATTTACTAGTAAGAGTGTTTATGAATGGAAGATCGATTCTTTGGGATCTTTCCTTTTTTCAAACGGAATGAACAGAGATAGAATCAGACCAATTCCCAACAGAAATCAAGTATCTATGTGCAATTAACTATTGAAAAACGGTTCTTCACTTGTGCATTTCTTTGACCTTCCAAGTAAAACAAGATTTTCCACTTCCATTGGAAATTTTCTGGGTTGATTTACTAGTAAGAGTGTTTATGAATGGAAGATCGATTCTTTGGGATCTTTCCTTTTTTCAAATGGAATGAACAGAGATAGAATCAGATCGATTCCCAACAGAAATCAAGTATCTATGTGCAATTAACTATTGAAAAACGGTTCTTCACTTGTGCATTTCTTTGAACTTCCAAGTAAAACAAGATTTTCCACTTCCATTGGAAATTTTCTGGGTTGATTTACTAGTAAGATTGTTTATGAATGGAAGATCGATTCTTTGGGATCCTTCCTTTTTTCAAACGGAATGAAGAGAGATAGAATCAGACCTATTCCCAACATAAATATATATTCCCAACAGAAATATATATATACATATATATGATTTTACTCCCAAGTAGTCCTTGCAGGCCAGTTTCAAAACAGTGA